TTTCTTTGATTGTGACATTGTTGATGGCAGGGTTTAGGAAATTACCACAGTAAACACGGGAAGCCAGTTGTTAGCAGTTCTGGCAGTCCAACTGTGTAACCCAGATGTGTCTAGGTCCCAGCTATGGCTTGGTACCGCCTGCTGGCAGTTGCCTGATCCAGCTGGAATATTGATGGGGACCATTCTGAAATCTGTGAGTGGATAAGACTTCCAGATTGGACTAGGGATTATGGGTATCTCCTAGTTAATTGGTTAGTTGATGGGGTTACCTGTCATTTTTCACCTAACTTTGCCTGCCAACTATGTTCACCTCTCCCTGCAGAATATAAGAACTTATACTGCCCCCATCTTCATGGGTTTGGTGGTAGATCCCACAGACTAACCTATCTGCTCTATCACTATGACTTTCTTGACTACTGGGAGAGTACTAAATAGTTCAGCCTTTTCATTCTTCTCCCACCTCCAATATGTGAGAGCACATTTTCTTTACCAAGTCAGGGAAAGCTGATTAAGTGGAAAAACCAGACAAGGAAAAAGGAATGTTTCAGTGTGACCTATTGTTCTTCACTCTTCCTTCTTACTAGGTTCCTTCATCCATTCGGTCCCCCGGCATGAAATACCTGATATTCTAGAAATAAACCTGCCTTATGCTCAGCCCCAGGATGCTGGAGTATACTCGGCCAGGTATATAGGAGGAAATCTCTTCACCTCGTCCTTCACCAGGCTGATAGTCCGGAGTAAGTGATTGAGAGGCCACCATTTGTGATGGTGTAGTTGTTAGATTGTTAGGATTTTTAGTTGTGAGTAACAGAAACGAACCATGGCTTCTTAAGCAAAAACGAGGGACTGGTTGGAGGTTGTATTAGTCTGTTCTCATGCTGCAAAGCAAATGAATTAGAGATACCAATCATTAGAGTAATGACAGAAAAGCCCAGGTATTTAGATCTGAAGACTTAAATATTTAATATTACAAATACTTGATGTAGCTGGGGAAAATTCAGGACAAATCATTTTCTTTTTTTCAGGGCAAATCATTTCTAATTTCACTTGCTCTTTATTAAGATGTACTTGAGACTGGCTGATTTATAAAGGGAAGAGGTTTAATTGATTTACAGTTCAATACCCTGGGGAGGCATCAGGCAGCTTACAATCATGGCAGAAGAGGAAGCAAACACATCCTTCTTCACATGGCAGCAGGAGAGAGAAGGATGAGAGTGAAGGAGGGGGGAAGAACTGTATAAAACCACCAGATCTCATGAGAACTCACTCACTATCACGGGAACAGCATGATTAAATTATCTGCTACTGGCTTCCTCCCACAACATGTGGGGATTACAGGAACTACAATTCAAGATGAGATTTGGGTGGAGACATAGCCAAACCGTATCAGAGGGGGACACTAAGGACTCCTAATAAATTGATGGGAAAGCTGGAAAGTGACCGGATGCGGTGGCTCATGCCTGTAATCTCAGCACTTTGAGAGGCCCTTTGAGATCAAGAGTTTAATACCAGCTTGGGCAACAGGACAAAAACCCATCTCTACAGAAAATACTAAAATTAGCCAGGCATGGTGATGCACACCTGTAGTTCCAGCTATTTGGCACGTTGCGGTGGGAGGTTAGCTCAAGTTCGGGAGGTCAAGGCTGAAGTGGGCCAGCCTGGGCAAAAGAGCAAGGCCCTGTCTCAAAAAAACACTGCAAAGCAAGTTCCAGAAAAGATAAACTTCAAGGAAGAGCTGAGGCTCAGTGGCGATGGGTATGGGGAGGTAGAGGAATGGGCTTTCTCTCTAAGATGCTGCTTTTACGATGACTCAGCTTCAGCAATGTTTCTTTTGCTTCCAAATTTTGAATTTCCAGGCTAAAGAATTAGATTGGCCTAACATGTATTAGATGTCTATCAGCCTAGACCAGTGAGCTACAGACAAGGATGGAGCCACATACTGCAAGTTAAAGGCACTAGAAACTCCCATTTGTACAGCATGATCGTCCATATAAAAAGGGAGACCGCGATGAGTAAAGCAGTCTCACTGAAAGGTGTCTGCTCTAGGGGGATGAGCTGGACCTCTTGGGTTAGACTGACATGTGATTAAACCTTGCCTCCTGTAAATCCCACACGTCCCAGGTCATTTAACTCTTAAATGTGATTTTTATTTTCAGTTTTGAAAAACGTAAGAGTTAGAACTAGTAAAAACTTTTTTTCCCCATTATAACTATTGAAATGGGGCATAAATATCAACATTACATCCTATAATTTTTATAGGAACTTGATGAATAGAAAGAAAATGATTTGTCCTGAATTTTCCCCAGCTATATCAGGTATTTATAATACTAAATATTTAAGTCTTCAGGTCTAAATACCTGGGCTTCTCTGTCATTCCTCCAGTGATTGCCATCTCTAATTAATTTGCTTTGCATTATATTCCCTCATTCATTTAACAAAATATGTTGCTCATAACCCTGTGCCAAGAATTGTGTTGGTGTTGAGAATACAGGATCATAAAATAAATCCCTGTCCCTTGGGTCACTCCCAATCAGAGTAGGTACATCTATAATTAGCTAAATAAACATTGAAAAATGACAATAGAATTATGAAAAGTGTGGTTCATCTAGTTTATACTCCATGCTTAGCCACCTCTATGGGCATAAAATATAGCAGGGTGTTTTATAGGCAGGACTATTTGAGCTTGAGTTGAGAGGAATCTTTCCATGTACCCAGGACCTGTTTCCTTCTAGATAACTACTGTGCTTGACTTCTATTAAATGTCAGAGCAGCCTTTTTGTAAGATGAATCTTAAAAAAATATATAATTTACGATGATAGCAAAACTGCAATATTCAACTTCTTCTTCTTTTTTTTTTTTTTTTTTTTGAGACCGAGTCTCGATCTGTTGCCCAGGCTGGAGTGCAATGATGTGGTCTCGGCTCACTACAACCTCCACCTCCTGGGTTCAACCAATTCTCCTGCCTCAGCCTCCCAAGTAGCTGAGATTACAGGCACCCACCACCATGCCCGGCTAATTTTTGTATTTTTAGTAGAGATGGGGTTTCACCATGTTGGCCAGGATGGTCTCACACTCCTCACCTCGTGATCTGCCCGCCTTGGCCTCCCAAAGTGCTGGGATTACAGGCATGAGCCGCCACGCCTGGCCAATATTCAGCTTCTAATAGCTTGCTTCACAGTTACTTTTACATGAAGTTTCTGTGACTTGGAAGAAGCAGGTGATATCCTCTTTTATTCTACTACTCAGGAGAGTCTGAATGGCAAGGAAGCAATTTGCATTTATTTTATTTAGATAGTTTCTTTGGGTTCTGATATAACACCATGTACTAGGTGTACTCAGAGGGTAAATGGCATACATCTTTTAGGGGTGTCAGACACCTATATATGTTGATATGTAGTTGTTTGAGATAGGAAAATCAAAGTGTTTTTCCTAATCTCGGTTCTCACTGAACACCAGATGTGTAGGGATTTTTCCTTGCACCCTCTCTAGTTCTCTAGCAGACGTCAATTGGGTATCCTATAGTTACTCAATTCTGACTCTACTGGGAAATAGTATCAGACCCTACAAGTTACATGTTCAGTCCTATTAGACTACGCCCACTTTAGATGCCAGTTGTGAGCCCCAGATTGCAACCTGTGTCTCTGACTGACCGTATATCATTGATCGGTGGTGAGACTCCCTCTTGGGTTGGGTTAATTTGCTAGAAGGGCTCACAGAACTCAGAGAAACACATTTACTATCTTATTATAGGGAATATTACAAATATTAAGGTGAGCAGCCAGGTGGAAGAGATGCACAGGGCAAGATATGGGGAGTGGGTACATGGGCTCTCTAGGTACATCACCCTCCAGGAACCTCCATGTGTTCAGTGATCATGATGCTCTCTGAATCCTGTCCTTTTGGGTTTTTGTGGAATATTCATTAGGTAGGCATAATTGATTAAATCACTGGCCATTGATCAATTTAATGTTCAATCTTTAGCCCCTCCCTAGAGATAGGGGGGATAGGCTGAGTATCACAACTCTGTAATCATGCCTTGGTATTTCTGGTGACTAGCTCTCATCCTGAAGCTGTCTCGGGGCCGCCAGCCACCAGTCCGCTCAATGGCATACAAAAGGTACTCTCATCACTCCAGAGATTCTAGGGGTTTTAGGAACTCTGTGCCAGGAAACAGGGATGAGACTATTGATATATTAAGAGACTATATGTAAAATATATAGTTCTTACATCACAACACAGTGGTAAAAGGCTTAAGGCTTTAAAAAAAATTAGTATCAAAACAAACATGACTAGTATAGACTAGAATGTAAAATTCGACTGAGCTTTAAGATAAAGCAAAAGATTTCAAACATATTTTGATATCCAAGCTGTCTGTTTTCAGTGTGCTAGGAGTATGTGTTCATTCTGCTTTGTGGTTAGGGGTATTTTAATGAAACAATTCGAGGAGCACAGCTAATATCTAAAATCATTCTAAGAAAGTTTAAGTTGGATCACAGCCATCCCATTTAAGAATATTTCTCCCCAGTATGAGTTCTTTTATATTTATGAAGAAATGGGATACAGGTGAAGGCACATGTCCATTTCTCTTAACTGTAGGGTGCCTGTATTAGTCAATATTCATACTGCTATAAAGAAGTACCCGAGACTGGGTGATTTATAAAGAAAAGAGGTTTAATTGACTCAGTTACGTTTAATTGACTCGGTTCTGCATGGCTAGGGAGGCCTCAGAAAATTTACATTCATGGCAGAAGGCGAAGGAGAAGCAAGTACTTTGTTCACAAGGTGGCAGGAGAGAGAGTGAGCCTGTGCATGCAAAGCAGGAAATGCCACACTTTAAAACCATTAGCCGTCATGCAGATTCACTCACTATCAGGAGAACAGCCTGGGGAAATCACCCCCCATGATCCAGTCACCTCCCGTTAGGTCCCTCCCTCAAGATGTGGGGATTACAGTTGGAGATAAGATTTGGGTGGGGACACAGCCAAACCATATTACCATCTCTCCAGGATGAATTGAAACCTAGAAACACTCAGTGCTTAAAGATTTTTTATAAAAAATCACAATCTTTATAGGATTTTCTTTTCTGTATAGATTTGTTCTCTGGCAAGATTTTCATAATGTAGAATTTTTCTCTGTATGCCATGAAATAGAGTTTCATAAAATACAGAATCACAAAGCCTTTGAAGAAAATAGATGCCTAATTGCATACTTGTTGCTTATCAGCAGACTCTTCCTGACCTCTCCATCCCCAAGAAATCACCCCTATTATTCCCTAAAGCTTTATTTTTTCTTTCTTCCTGGGATGAGAAGTAGGTCTGTAGGTAAGTACAGGACGAGGTACAGTTTAATGTCACAGGGAACTCATTTTCATCTACATTGTCTGCCACCATTGTTTTCAACATGTACAAATAACCTGCGGTCTGGCTCTGAAGAAATCACTAATCGTTCAAAACCTCTTTCCCTCTACATATTGAAGAATATAAATATTAGCTTTTAGACATTTTGTACCTTTATTTATTAAGTGGAAGACTGTAAGAAATTATGTGTGTTGGCAGTCTTCTTGATGACTGTAGAGAAAATACTGATAACCAGGAGTTCTTGCCAAAGAAATTATAATGTTACATCAGCTGTAGGCCCAGGCCCAAGCTTACCACCATGAGACTAACAGGACAAAGACACTAGTTCCCTTCGGATGAGAAATGAAACTGAATTCCTGACCTGACCACGAAGGGTCATTCCAACCCTCCTGGGTGTTCCTTATATTAGAAGCTATCCTAGGACCTAATTGACAATCAAAAATCACCAAGTGTTAGAAGTGGCCAAGAAATGTGAATCTAGAAGGATTTTACTGTCCTTGTACTTCAGGTTTTGCCTATCTTGTTTCACTTCTTATATGGTTTTCCAGCTGAAAAATAGGTGGAGGCTACTAGTTCTCTTTTCTGCCTTATCCCTCCTCCACATACTCCAGGCCAGAGGTTCTCCAACTCTAGCATATGTCCAAGTCACCTGGAGGGCTTGTTAAGCACAGTTTACTAGGCCCCTTCAAGAATTTCTCATTCCGTAGGTTGTGGCTGGGTGGTTGGGTGGGGTCTGGGATTTGCACTTCTAACAGATTCCCAGAGGATGAGGTTGCTACTGGTCAGAGACCACGCCTTGAAAATTACGGCTCCAGCCTATAACCATGCCTGCAACTCCCTGGACATGCCATGGTCTCTTCCTATGCCTTGCCTTTGCCTGGAACACACTCTCCAGCCTTATCTTCTTTGCTGCTTAGGTTGTCCTGCAGATTCAGCCTGCATACCACATCCTCTGGGAAGCCTTCCTTCATGCCCTCTCTTATCCCCCAGAGTTAGGTACTTTTTATCTTTGTTTCTATCACAATTTTCTGTTTAATATCTCTCTCCCATATTAGACCATTAGCTTTTAGAGAGCAGAGCGTGTATTTTATGTTCATTCACCAGTTTCCACTGGTGTCCACTGAAGTGACTGACACATACTAGGTGCTCAATAAAGATTTGTTGAGTGAATGTCTCTACTCACCACAGCCTTGTTTTCCTTAACAAAAGGATGTGAAGCTCAGAAGTGGGGACCTGAATGTAACCGTCGCTGTACTGCTTGTATGAACAATGGTGTCTGCCACGAAGATACTGGAGAATGCATTTGCCCTCCTGGGTTTATGGGAAGGACATGTGAGAAGGGTAAGCCAAGAGTACTTGGTAAGTAAGCTGTGGATTTAAAAAGCCATCATTTCTTGATCTAGAATTTTAGATCTGGACACAGATGGGAATGGAAGCTAAATGGCCTCTGTTAGTCCAGATGGTACCTGTGTGTAAATGAGAAAAAAGGTGCCTTTTCCTAAAGGTTCTTTATTACCAACCATTGGAAAGTTATAATAAATATACAGATCTATGATATTTACAATGTGAATGCCACCCCCTTGGTTTGCACAGTGCACAAACCAGCATGCTTGTGAGTGATGTCCCTGATGTCCTCTCTGTGGGGCAGTTTCATTATCAGTAAAATGGGCCAGCAGGGTGTGCTCATCCTACCCACGCCACAGCTGAGCTTTGACTATTTCCCTTATTCACTAAACTAGGAGAAACGAATCCGAAGAATTATGCATTTCAAAGAGTTTCATATTTGACTCTGAATCGTTTCTTTTCCTCCCGAAAGCTTGTGAACTGCACACATTTGGCAGAACTTGTAACGAAAGGTGCAGTGGACAAGATGGATGCAAGTCTTATGTGATCTGTCTCCCTGACCCCTATGGGTGTTCCTGTGCCACAGGCTGGAAGGGTCTGCAGTGCAATGAAGGTATGCATTAATCACACCTTTGTACAGAAAACGTCCTAGCAGGTATGCAAAGGAGATCCAGTTTGCTGGAAATCAAAATATAGGTTATACCTGGATTGCTTAGTCAGCTACCCACTACTGGACGACAGGATTTTGAATCATAGATGTTTTCATCTAATGTAAATTATACTTTCACCATAAAAAATTTGGACTGCATAGAAAGTACTTCTCATAACTATCACCTAGGGGATCTCACTAAAGCATGGATTCTGGTTTGGTAGGTATGGACTGGGGCCCCAGGTTCTGCATTTCTAACAGGCTCCCAAGCAGTTTTGATGTCGGTTTTCAGACCACGCTTTGAGTAGGAAGACCATAGAAAACTTGTTTTTTCCAGTGAATCATAAAATCACAGCTTTAGCCGGGTGTGGTAGTGCATGCCTATTGTCCCAGCTACTCAGGAGGCTGAGGCAGGAGGATCCCTTGAGCCCAGGAGTTTGAAGCTGCAGTGAGCTATGATTGCACCACTGCACTCCGGCCTGGGCAACAGAGTGAGACCTTGAAAAAAAAAAAAGGAAATCAAAATCAGAGCTTTTAGGTTAGATCCAAACAGGATTTAGGGGCTCAAAAATCGAAGAAGTTAAAATCTTACCTGCAGTGGACCTTATGCAAGCAGTACTAACCACACCTACTCAGAGTCCCTCTGCCCTTTCTAAAGTATGCTTTCCTGTTTGACTGGGCTTGATGGAATGCATCTGACATCTACTTTTCAGTATGTGTTTCACATCTACTGTCACACAGTAGCTCAACATGAACCTGTACACAAATATGACAGAACCTCCCTAATGTATATGAATGTTGTGAATTAGCCAGAGCTCAAAGGCTCTTCAGTGTTTATCTCACAAAGTCAGCTTTTCCCATATCCAGCACTAAAAGTAGCTTTGATAGGGTCCCAGCAACTTGATAACCATGCTCCAGGGCAGAGCCGTTCAGTAGAAATATAAGCCATTCGCATGTAGAATTTAAAATTTTCTAGTGTCCACATTAAAATGGTGAAGAAGAATAGGTGAAATAATTTTTATATATTATGTAACCTAGTATGTTAAAAATATTAACAGTTCAACATGTAATCAGTAGCAAAAGTATTAATGAGATATTTTACACTCCCTTTTTCATAGTAGGTCTTTGACATTTCAATTTGGACTAGCCATATTTTAAGGGTTCCATAGCCAGTGGCGAACTGTACTGAATGGCACAAACCCCAGGGGCTTGGAAGAGGAGAACAAAGAGGAGAGTTACACAAAAGTTAGCTCCTGCCACCTGCAATACCTCATTCAGTTCCCTCTAAATGCTATGTCTGCCCCCTGGAACATGGAGTGAGCCACAGCAGTGGAGGAATCCCATCTGGCCTTGGAAATGTGCCTCTTAAGGTAAAAGGTGACTCCAGGCAGGGGCAGATCCCTCTTTTTAAAAAAAAAAAAAAATTAAAATCTTACGCAAACTGCGAACACTTTGCTAGGGCCCAGGGAGGGGTGCATGCAGGCAGCCTCTAGACCATGAATGTCACAGCTTCATAGTGACTGTGTCTCTGGGCCCACGTTTGTGAGGACATTTCATGAACTCATCCTAGCCCATTTCTCGCTCAAGAAAATCACCATGATTTTATGCATAGAACTGTTCTAATATACTTCCAGACTCCTTTCAACAGTCATTATCCTGTTCAATCCATCCAAAAAGCAGTAGGAAAGCAAGGAGACATTTCTAATCGTTACTACTACTTATCGTCTCCTCTGATAGTCCAGGATTTAGAATAGTCACCAATAGATTGTATATTATCAGGGCTGGTTTCTACCTGAGGAAATAAGCAATAATAGAAATTTTTGAAGCAAATAGTGGGGACAATAAAGAGAATACGGGAATTCCACTGTGCAAATACATGATCATTCAGTCATTCAGAGCCCTCCGCCAGGAAGAAAGTGCCAGTGTGTACTAGAAACTAAAAAATCAGGCTTCATGATGTTTTATGGTCTTCTGCCATCACAATAGAAACTTGATTTTAGTAGTCAGATTTCCTTTATGCTTATTAATAGTTCTCAACCTTTCTACCATCTGCTTTGAGTAAGAAGTTGTGATTAAGTTGTTTTCCCAGCTTTATCGAGGTCTAATTGCTAAGTAAAAATTGTATGTAGTTAAGGTACAAAATGTGATATTTTGATATATGTATACATTGTGAAATTATTACTGCTATTAAGCTACTTAACATACCCGCCACCTCACACAGTTACTGTGTGTTTGTGGGTATGGTGACAGCATTTAAGATCTCTCAGCAAATTTCAAGTATACAATATAGTAATATTAAGTTTAGCCAACCTGTTGTATATTAGAACTCCAAAACTTACTATTCATGCATAATTAAAATTTTTTGCCATTTGACCAGCATCTCCCCATTTCCTCCACTCCACAGTCCCTGGGAACCACTATGCTGCTTTCCTTCTATAAGTTTGACATTTTTAGATTCCATGTATAGAAGAGATCTTACAGTATTGGTCTGTCTATGCCTGGCTTATTTCACTTAGCACAATGTCCTCCAGGTTCAGCCATGTTTCTGCAAATGACAGAATTTCCTTCTTTTCAAAGGCTGAATAATATGTCATTAGATATAGTGATTTCATTTCTCTTGGATATATACCCAGAAGTGGGATTGCCAGATCATATGGTAGTTCTATCTTGAGTGTTTTGAAGAACTTCCATATTGTTTTCCATAATAACTGTACCAATTTACATTCCCACCAATAGCATATAAGGGTTCCCTTTTATCTATATCCTTGCCATTATAACAGGTGTGATGTGATATCTCATTGTGGTTTTGATTTTCATTTCCCTGATGATTAGTGATGTTGAGTATTTTTCATATACCTGTTGGCCATTTGTATGTCTTCTTTTAAGAGATGCTGGCTGGGTGCAGTGGCTCATGCCTGTAATCCCACAGCCCTTTGGGAGACCGGCAGGGGGCGGGGGCAGATCACCTGAGGTTGGGAGTTTGACCAACATGGAGAAACCGTGTCTCTACTAAAAATACAAAATTAGCTGGGCATGGTGGTGGATGCTTGTAATGCCAGCTACTCAAGAGGCTGAGGCAGGAGAATTGCTTGAATCTGGGAAGCAGAGATTGCGGTGAGTCAAGGTCATGCCACTGCACTCTAGCCTGGGCAACAAGAGGGAAACTCTGCCTCAAAAAAACAAAACAAAACAAAAACAGATGTCTATTCAGGTCCTTTGTCCATTTTTTAATCAGGTTGTTTTTCTGCTATTAAGTTGTTTGAGTTCCTTACATATTTTGGTTGTTAACCTCTCAGGTGTATACTCTGGAAATACATTTTCTTTTCTTGTTCCGTACATTGTGGCTTCACTCTGTTGATTGTTTCCTTTGCTGTGCAGAAGCTTGTTAGTTTGATGTAATCACATTTGTCTATTTCTGCTTTTGTTGTCTGTACTTTTGAAGTCATATCCAAAAAATCAAGAAGATCAATATCAAGAAGCTTTTCTCCTCTGTTTTCTTCTAGTGGTTTTACAATTTCAGGTCTTATGTTGTGTCTTTAGTCAATTTTGTATTGATTTTTGAGTATCATATGAGATGGGGTTCTAATTCCATTCTTCTGCTTGTGGTTATCTAGTTTTCCCAGGACCGTTTATTGAAGAGATTAACCTTTCCCTGCTGTGCGTTTTTCATATCTTTGTTGAATCAGTTAACTCTAAATGTGTAAATTTATTTCTTGGCTGTCAGTTCTGTTCCATTGGTCTATACATCTGTTTTTATGCCAATGCCATACTGTTTTTATTACTACAGCTTTTATCTTGAAATCAGGTAATGTGATGTCTCTATCTTTGTTCTTCTTGCTCAATATTGCTTTGGCTATTCTAGGCCTTCTATGGTTCAATATAAATTTTAGAATTTTTTTTTCTATTTCTGTGAAAACTTCCATTGCAATTTTGATAGTAATTGTATTGAGTTTGTAGATAACTTAGTTGTGATTAATACTAAAAATAAAGACTGCATTTTAGCTGGGTGAATAAAATACAAATTGGAAACAAATCATCAGAGCCCTAAACCACAAACTTTTGCATTAATTTTGGTTAGAAGCCTTCTAGTAATGTTACAGTTGACCAGAATAAAGATAGCCAGTTAACAGAATCCATTTGCCATATCTCAAATTCTAACAATTGTCTTTGAAGGTTTAGTGAGCTCCAAGGGAAAGTAATGCTTCTACCCTATCCTCCAGGAGCTTATTTTAAGTACCAAAACATAATTAGAATAGCTTAAATACTCTGCTATAAAGAAACAGGCTTAAAAATCTAACATTTTAAATTATCTTGATTTCTACTTTTCAGCGGTTTAACCATGATGTGCCAATGCATAGTTTTCTTTATATTTATTCTTCTGCGGGCTTAACAAACTTGAATGTGTAAATTTCAACAAATTGGGGGAATTTAAACCATTATTTCTTCAAATATTTTTTTCTAACCCTTTCTCTCTGATCCTTCCTGGACCTCCAATTACACGTGTGTTAGATGTTTTGATATTGTCTCATGGGCCCCTAGAGATAAAATCATTTTTTTCCAACCTTTTCCCTACCTTTCTTCTTCAGATTGGTTATTGATGTAGCTTCAAGTTTATTGGCTTTTTCTTTTGTCGTCTCCATTCTGTTGCTAAGTCCATATATAGTGATATTTGATTTCAAATGTTGTGTTTTTCAGTTTTGGAACTTTTTTTGCTTTAAAAAATAGTCTGTCTTTCCCTGCTGAAGTTTTTTATTGTTTCATTTGTTGTGAACATATCTTCTTTTACCTCACTGAGCATAGTTATTATAGTTGTTTTAAAATTCTTGTTTATTCCAACATCTGGCTCATCACAGTTGGTCTCTGCTGATTTTCTTGTTTCTTAAAAAATGGACCTTAATTCTCCATTTCTTCTTGGGATTGTATCTTGGACACTGAAAATGTTACATTGTGGAGACTCTGGAATATGATATAATCTTTCAGGAATGTTAATTTTGTTTTGTTTTAGCAGGCAATTAACTTAGTAGGATTCAAACCCGCTCCCTCACTATTAGGAATCAGGTCAAACTCAGTTTAGTTCTTTTCTCTTTAGCTGGGCTGCTTTGAGTCTGTACCGAGCATGCACAGATCAAGGATCAGCCGAAGATCTGGGACTTTTTTGACTCTCTTTCTGTGTTTTCCCCTCTCTTTCTAGTGGCTGTGGTTTTCCTGACTCTGTCCTCTGATTCATCAGGCCAGTAAGCCTGCAGGTTTTCTTTGGAGTCTTAGCTTCCATACGTGGTGTCAACTGTACCTAACACTTAGGCTAAAAGCTGAAAAATGGGAAACACATGTTTCCCAACTTCCAAATTTTAGTTCTTCTCCAGAATCTTCCAGGTCTTTGTTTCTTCCTGTCCTACTCTTCAGTGCTTTCAGGAAGTTGTTTTCTAAATGTAGTTGTATCTACAAAAAAGTTGGCGTGATAGGAGCTCATTCAATTTTTTTGGAGGCAGAACTCCCCAGCTTTTAAAGTTCCTGATAATTCAGATAAATTCCACCCTACCTTACATAAATCAGCAAAGTTGATGGCTTAGAGAAAAATGAAACTAGGCACCTGCAGCCTTAGTTTCCTCTCTTCCCCTGTATTAATACTGTTTTTTTGATGTCTTTGTTTACAGCATGCCACCCTGGTTTTTATGGGCCAGATTGTAAGCTTAGGTGCAGCTGCAGCAATGGGGAGATGTGTGATCGCTTCAGAGGATGTCTCTGCTCTCCAGGACGGCAAGGGGTCCAGTGTGAGAGAGAAGGTAAAGCAAGGTAACACTGTAGTCAAGGCCATATTCAGCAGGTCTGAACTGAGCTTGCGCCAGCATCCCAAGATCCTCAGACCTCTTTTCTTTCCATCCAGAAGTTGAGAATAATTTATCCTAAATTCTTTCTTCCTTTTTTTTTTTTTTTTTTTGAGACAGAGTCTCGCTCTATCGCCAGGCTGGAGTGCAGTGGCGCGATCCCGACTCACTGCAACTTCTGTTTTCTGGTTTCAAGCAATTCTCCTGCCTCAGCCTCCCGAGTAGCTGGGACTACAGGCACGTGCCACCACGCCCGGCTAATTTTTTGTACTTTTTAGTAGAGACGGGGTTTCACCATGTTGGCCAGGATGATCTCAATCTCTTGACCTCGTGATCCACCCGCCTCAGCCGCCCAAAGTGCTGGGATTACAGGTGTTTATCCTAAATTCTAAAGCACAACATTTTAATTCTTCTCTACTGAACCAAATCGTAGCCTTTATTTCTCTTGCCACTAGGAAGAAACCATATGTTCTCTGTAGCAGCTTAAGTGATGGCTGGCCAGCTCTGCCTGCCTCTTCTGCTCCTTTTTCTAGGAGCAGCCTTTTCCCTGGATATGCATAGCAGAGAAAGAGCAATTTGGGATGAATTTAAACAGAGGATATTTTTAAAGCAATAGAAAGAATAAAATAAATAGAAAAGATTATGCTCAAAATGAAATTGTATGTAATTCTAGTTCAGAAATTACTCTCCAGCAGGAGTCAGCAAACTTTAACCCACAGACTAAATCCAGCCCACTATCTCTTTAAAAACAGCGGTATAGAGATAACAGTTTTTATATCGAAATGTTTACCTTTTTTAAAATGTACAATTCAATGGTTTTTGGTATGTTTACAGAGCTGTGCAATCATTGCCATAATCTAATTTTACAACATATTCATCATACCGAAAGAAACCTTGTACCCATTAGCAGAAACTTCCGTTCTCCAATTATCTTAATTTCTGACAACCATTAATTTGCAGTTGACCTTGAACAACATGGGGGATAGAGGTACTAGCCTTCCTCACAGTAGAAAATCCACGTATAACTTTTGACTCCCCAAAGGCTTAACCACTAGTAGCCTATATTAACGAGAAGTCTTATCCATAACATAGTCAATTAACATGTAGACTAGTATCTATATATATTTTTGGCTTTCATGACATACCTAACTTTTTCTTAAATTTTTTTTGATGTTTCTAGGCTACACAGTTTGTCAGTGAGTTTTTTCAAATTATCTCAAATCTCCAAAACATTTTCCAATACATTTATTGAAAAAAAAAATCCAGGTCAGTGGACCTATGCAGTTCAAGCCCATATTGTTCAAGGGTCAACTATATCTTCTGTCTCTGTAGATTGCCTGTCCGTGACATTTTATATGCTCTAAATAGGATGATATAATATATCATCATTTGTAACTAGCTTCATTTGCCAGACCTTTTTTGAGGTTTATCTATGGTGTAGCATGTATCAGTACTTCATTCCTTTTTGTTTCTCACCATCTGTTATTATAAAGAAAAACTTTTTGGATTACAGCCACCCCCATTCACTAATAATCTGTTGCCTGCGGCTGCTTTTGTACTGCAAGGGCGGAAAACATGGCTTGCAAAGCTGACTATATTTGCTCTCTTTACAGAAAACGTTTGCTATCCACAGCCCTGGAATATACTTTTTAAAATTAAAAGAAGCAGACATATGTATTTTCAAACTTAAATAATAAATATATATTGCGTTTTCAATCATATAACTATAAATGCCATTGAAATAAACATATATCCAGTGAAATCTACACTCAAAATAATACAGCTATGGTCTTTTTCCAGCTACTTTTAAAAATCAGAACAAATATTGGGAGTGGGAGTGGGATGCTAGCAAGTTTTCTCAAAGCCCTTAAACTTTATACTTTTTTTTCTTCTGTTACGCCTGGACTTTACTACAGAACAGAAATCAGGGAGTGGTTAGAAAGGGAAGGAAATGCCTTGGGGCATCTATAAAATTGTATTGAAGGTGGGCAACTAACAAGTTTAAGGATTTGAATTTTGTACTTGGCTCCTTCCTTTCTGCTGTTTCTGCAAAAGGAGTGCATTCTGATGGGAGAATGTAAGACAGGTTAACCAGGGTGCCACTAGGGCTTTCAGAGAGTAGCTTCCTTTCCAGATTCCCAGCACATCCACCACATCCTCCTTCACCGCCAGCACCTGCACCTTCACCTCCACCCGACTTCAGAAAATACAAGGGGACGACAAAGGAAAGAAATGCTTTGAAAGTGTCAAAATATGTTTTTCAATTCCTATTCCTGTAGCTACTTAGGCTGAAAATTTGGCATATTTCCATAATCTTCCCAAGTTTACAGATATATCAAGGAATAACCTTGTAATTGTTGGCACTCTTTCCCTTCTCCTTCACACATTTACCCATTTTATTCTAGGCCTGAGAAGTAGATATCAGTATAAAATGTCATTATTGACCCCGCCTCTTCCCACCACTGGTAAGGAACAGTCTGCAGTTACTGCTGCTCTGAGGGCACCTCTGTCACCTACTGAGTGTTGGAAAATTTTCATACATGTCTCACATTCAATTACAAATGGTCCAAGGTTTTCTAAGACCATATGGTTTAGAATAAAATTGGTATATTTCCGGGTTATTCATTCTCTACTATGTAGATATTAGGCAAGAAATCCTGACACCATTACCTTTGTTGACACCACAGACCCCTTTCCTTCTTTCAGTATTCGCGGCAACAGTTCTGATTTGGCTGTTGAGTAGATATTGATTTGGGAGAGTTATATTCCACTTATTTGATGTACTTCTTTGGTGAACAATTTTATTCACCTTTTCCTCTTATTTATCTGCTATTCCCAGTGAATGAGACATCTCTCATATGTCTAAACTGAGAACGGTGCTGTTGATCAGCAATACCATGGGGTTATTTGCTGAGTGGAAGAAGAACTAGTTTTTTGTTTGTTTTGTTTTTGTAATCATTCACGTAAAAAGAAAGAGGGGGACTGAACAGCAAAGTCTAGCGGAGATACGGCCATGATAATCATTTTAATATTGAGACTGTTCCTCCCTGGTCCATGTGAGGAGCACATCCTTCTGGTGAAGAGTGTGGACTCTGGGATTATAAAGATCTGAGTCTGAATCTGGGCTCCTGAACCTCTGTCTCCTCATCCACAAAATGGAGATCACAATAGCATCTGCAATGTCTCATGTGATGACAAAACAAAGTATTTGCAAAATTCTTGCCCAGTGCATGACTTACGAAAGTAGACATTTTTATTATTACTACTGCTGCTGGCTCTGTTAAATAGTAAGATTTCACAGTGCTGTTTTCTTCCTTCAGGCATACCAAGGATGACCCCAAGGATACTGGATTTGCCAGATAATACAGAAGTAAACAGTGGTAAATTTAACCCCATTTGCAAAGCTTCTGGCTGGCCGCTACCTACTAATGAAGAAATGACCCTGGTGAAGCCGGATGGGACAGTGCTCTATGTAAGAGCCATTCTTATTCTGCCTTCCTTGAACCATGAGATGCTTTCAGTGTAGTAATCACCCCGCTAAATGATAGATTTCATTCAGTGCTTTCATCCTTCTAGGCTAGTATGTTGTTGGCTTTGATAAAATACCCTTTCCCTGGAGAGGCAGAACAGACTCACAGCAGCCTCACTGATTTCCTCTGTTGACTAGTACTGCAGTGCAAGATTGGGAATATGCCTCCAGTGGAACTGACAGAGCTGAGTGCTAAGGATGGCACACATCCTGCAGAACTGTCCAGCCAGTATGGGGAGAAGTACGTTCCAGTCTGTGCAAAGCTTTGTTCTCACTGTCCCTATACCTCTAACTACTCATATCAGGAAGAGTAAGGTGTTACAACCCATGAATCAGCAGATTTACATGCTACCAGGTGCAACCAGGACATGGACTTTGGATGACTGGTCTACTCCTGTTACGCTCTTTGGAGCAACAGTTAGGAGAGCATAGAAGAGGAGAGTTCAGCCTGATCCATTAGACTCTACACAGACAGGTCTTGAATCTGCTCCCACATCTCCAGTTCTGAAACTGTAATCCATTAGGTCTGAATGCATTCCTTGGTTTTCTCCCCCTCTTCTTTCAGCCCTCATTGTTGATGCCCACCACAGGTTAGGGTAATATCACAGCGGTTCTTTTTTGTTTAAAAGGATCAAGCTGGCCGGGTGTGGTGGCTCACACCTGTAATCCCAACACTTTGGGAGGTCAAGGCGGGTGGATCACGAGGTCAAGAGATCAAGACCATCCTGGTCAACATGGTGAAACCCCATCTCTACTAAAACTACAAAAAATTAGCTGGGCATGGTGGCGCGTGCCTGTAATCCCAGCTACTCAGGAGGCTGAGGCAGGAGAATTGCCTGAACCCAGGAGGCGGAGGTTGCAGTGAGCCGAGATCGCACCATTGCACTCCAGCCTGGGTAACAAGAGCGAAACTCCGTCTCAAAAAAAAAAAAAAAAAAAAAAAGGATCAAGCTACTTTTCGAACATGCTTTTCTTCTCTCTCCCAGCTGTACCAAAAGCAGCAGAGGCAGGAACCCCCCAAATTTCTCTTGTGTTACAAATGATCCTTAGGATATTGTTGTATTTTTTTAATCTAAAAATTTAGAAATAGTTATTCTTTTTTCTGTCAAAGATGAACAAATTCAGCTTGACCAGAGGTAGGGATGAGTGACCTTCTGGGGTAAGAATATGTAGAATGTACCATTACCAGAGTCCATGTTTTAAATGTCCCAGATTCCACTCAAACCACCCACCAGGTAGAAGAAGCCAATTTAGGACTTCCAAAATCTTGTTGGCTTTTTCATGAGTTAATGAAACTAATGGCTGCTACGTAGTAAGGGTTTACCATACTATATGTAACTTCTTACTTAACATTGCCTAGTCTCTCTCTGTTTCTCTCTCTCTCTCTCTCTCTCTCCCCCCCATCTCTTTTTTGTAGAAGTGGGAACTGGCTGGGTGAAGTTAAGTAACTCAAAAATTGGTCAAAAATAGTAAAGAGGCTAGATATGGTGACTCATGCCTATAATCCCAGTGCTTTGGGAACCTGAGGTAGGAGGATCACATTAGGCCAGGAATTTGAGACCAGTCTGGGCAACACAGTAAGACCCCATCTCTAAAAAAAAGAGAGAGTTAGCTGGACCTGGTGGCATATGCTTGCAGTCCCAGCTATTTGGGAGGCTGAGGTGGGAGGATCACTTGAGGCCAGGAGATTGAGGCTACAGTGAGCTATGATCACTGCACTATACTCGAGCCTGAGCCACAGAGCAAGACTGTGTTGTCTCTTTTTAAAAAATGGCAGAGGTCCATCTGTCTTCAGAACCCTGGATTTTCCCAGTACTCCACACTTGACAGCCTCTCAAACACTTAGGAAGCCACTTTGTCATCCCACACAGCCATCTAGGTATTATACAGGAAAGGAACAAATCTTACAAAGAGTAGTTTAAAAGAAATCATGCTTCAGCCTTCTTGCTTGTAAGTGTTTACCCCACACTCCCAAACACACAAATACAACAGCAGGATCTGACAGGGCCTCAATCCAAAATAAACTTTCAGGGCTACTACAATAGCTTTGGAAATAAGCCAATAATTATATGAGCATTACATTTAACTTCTTGATCTCTCCTAGAAAACTTCTTATTAAACAATGAGATGGGGTCAGTGTTATGAACCTTTGTGTTTATGCCTCCCTAGAAGTTTTTATTTTTTTGTATTTGACCTTTTCAGCCAAAAGACTTTAACCATACGGGTCATTTCGCAGTAGCCATATTCACCATCCACCGGATCCTCCCCCCTGACTCAGGAGTTTGGGTCTGCAGTGTAAACACAGTGGCTGGGATGGTGGAAAAGACCTTCAACATTTCTGTTAAAGGTAAGTTCATTTTTCAGAAAAAGAGATAGTATCCTCGATGCACCAAGTTTTTGTATTACTGGGGAAAGGTGCCGCTTCCGGACAGAAATGTATGTGAACACTAAAATACCTTTGAGGTTAATTTCCAGAATACTAAGCCTTTAAAAAAATAGAGATTAAGAGTATGAACTGTAGATTCACACAGTCCCAGGTTTGATTTTGTCTCTTAACAGTTCATAATCTTGTGGGTGGCCTTGAACAAATGAATTTACCTTTTTGAGTCTCTGTAAATGAAGCTTATTTTAGGTACTTCTTAGGGTTATTGTGAAGCCTCGTTAAATGCATAAAATACTTGGAATTGTGTCTGGCACAACATATCTGGTAGTGATTCTGTTTCACAAGAAGGTTGGCATTGCCATTATTGTGACTTCCTATTCATGACGATAGAGAAGGATTTCGAGAATCCCTGTTTTGAGGAATACTCACTTAATAGCCCAGGTTATGCTATCTAATTAATATGAATGTCTTTTCACATTCAGGGCTGTGGGCATTTTTCCTGCTATAAATCAGTATTTCAAAATTCAGATTAATATGAGTATTTGTTTGTAGATTTGTGGCTTGAGCGGAAGATCTAAAATGGAGGTAAGTCCACGTTGACTTGGCTGCTGTATATAGCTACAGCAAGGAATTTTACATTCGGAAGTTACTTATGAACCTGTTTAGACAAGAATACCTAACAGCTCTCTGGTGTATATTCTAGGAAAGGCACTAGGTTAAGATTACTTGTAATTTCTAATACATTGTAAATGCTCTGTAAATAGTTGCTATCCTGCATTGTTTAGAGAACAATGACAAGAACAAAGGTCTGTACATGTTTCGTGTAGACATTTTTTTCTGAATATTTTTGATCCACTGTTGGCTGCTTCACAGATGTGAACCCACATACACAAAGGGTCAACTGTATACAGTAGCACAGATCGTAACCACAAATCTTAGTACTAAACCTGGGTCTCCTGACTCCAAACCCAGCACTATCTCTTCTGGACCATTTTGCTTTCTGAGTCTCTTATGTTACAGAGGAGGAAACTGTGAGGTGACCAAAGTTGATTTGTACTTGGCCCCCTTCATTACTTCATTAGTAATCTCTTGGGAGATCCCAGAGGTAACCTCTGTACATGAAATGCTGTAAATACTCAGAGCATAATCTATTTTTAAAGGCCAATAACCACAGTAGCATAAATGTAATCCCATAGATTTGGATTCTCTGCCCTGATAATCCATATTAAATACCTCAGAATCCTTTTTTTGGTTTTCTATTGTACTTTAAGTTCCAGGGTACATGTGCAGATCTTGCAGGATTGTTGCATAGATACACACATGCCATGGTGGTTTGCTGTCTCCATCCCCCTGTCACCTACGTCAGGCATTTCTTCCAGTTGGGGCATCCTTCCCCAACCTTCCTGCCCCTCGCTGTCTCTCCCCTAACCCCCCCACCCCTCAGCATACCCCAGTGTGTGATGTTCCCCTCCCTGTGCCCGTGTGTTCTCATTGTTCAAGTCCCACAAATGAGTGAGAACGTGTGGTGTTTGGTTTTCTGTTCTTGTGTCAGTTTGCTGAGAATGATGGTTTCCAGATTCATCCATGTCCCTGCAAAGGACACGAACTCATCATTTTTTTTGTGGCTGCATAGTATTCCATGGTGTATATGTGCCACATTTTCCCTGTCCAGTCTATCATTGATGGGCATTGGGGTTGGTTCCAGGTCTTTGCTATTGTAAACAGTGCCACAGTGAACATACATGTGCATGTGTCTTTATAATAGAAGAATTTATAATCCTTTGGGTATATACCCAGTAATGGGATTGCTGAGTCAAATGGAATTTCTATTTCTAGGTCCTTGACGAATCACCACACTGTCTTCCTCAGTGGCTGAACCTAATTTACACTCCCGTCAACAATGTAAAACTGTTCCTATTTCTCCACATCCTCTCCAGCATCTGTTGTCTCCAGATTTTTTAATGATCACCAGTCTAACTGGCGTCAGATGGTATCTCAATGTGGTTTTGATTTGCATTTCTCTAATGACCAGTGATGATGAGCATTTTTTCATATGTTTTTTTGGCCTCACATATATCTTCTTTTGAAAAGTGTCTTTTCATATCCTTCACCCACTTTTGAATGGGTTTGTTTTTTTCTTGTAAATCTGCTTTAGTTCTTTGTAGATTCTGGATATTAGCCCTTTGTCAGATGGGTAGATTGCAAAATTTTTTTCCCATTCTGTTGGTTGCCAGTTCACTCTTATGATTGTTTCTTTTGCTGTGCAGAAGCTCTTAAGTTTAATTAGAATCCTTCTTATTATTACTTTTGGTTACAGGAAAAAGCCCAAATCTGTTTTATTCAGTAGAACATTCACATGATCAAAATAATTTCTTGCATCTCACATGTTCTTGGAAGAAAGGAAATGATATGCAGATAAGAAAAATTACTCTAGTTTTAAGCTTCTTGGAATGTTTGCTACCCTTGGACATAAGTCCAAAACAAACCATGTGGTGAACACACAGAAGGGTCGCTGGTCTAGATTTTAGTTGTAGTGAAAGACACGGCACACAATATCAATGTGTTGCAGCGTCTCCAGTCCTAAGTAACTGCTTTCTCTTTGCTGTCACATTGACTGACAGCCATAAAATGTAAATAGCCATTAGGGAATTTAGTGAATTTAATCAGCATCTTTTATTATAGTATTTAAAAAAACAGATACTAGGCTTTACCACCAGTGTACAGATTGGTACAATCACTTTGGAAAACTGGCAACATGTACTAAACCTAAACATATGCTTAAACCCTGTAAATCAGCAATTCCACTCCTAGATACATGCTAAAAAGAATGACTGTATATGTTCAAAGAAGACATCTTCGAGAATGTTCAGAGCAGCTGTATTCAAAGTAGCCCCAAACTGAAATTAACTCAAATGTCCATCAACACTGGAAAGGATACATAAATTGTAGTATATTCATATGTGTTAGTTTGCTAAGGCTGCCATAACAAAGTACTACAGGCTGGGTGGCTTAAGCAACAGAAATTTATTTTCTCATAATTCTTGAGGCTACAAGTCAAAGATCAAGGTGTCAGCAGAGTTTATTTCTTCTGAGACTTCTCTCCTTGGCTTGTAGATGGCCGTTGTCTCCCTGTGAAGACACAGGGTGATTAAATTAGGACACAGATATAAGGTCTTCTCTTTGTACCTGTGTCCTAATTTAATCTTCTTATATGGACACCAGTCATATTGGATTATGACACACCTTAATAAATTTATTTCAAATTAATTACTCCTTTAAAGGCCTTACCTCCAGACACGGTTACCTCCTGAGGTACTAGGGGTTAAGACTTTAACATGTGATTTGCAGGGAAAGCAATTCAGCCCATAAAATCATGCAGAGGAATAGTAAACAGCAATAAAAAAGAATTAATTCCTTCAACCATATGGATGAATCTTGCAAACATGATAATGAGTGAAAGAAAGTACACGCTTTATGATTCCATTTATGTGAAACTAAAGAATAGGAAATACTAATCTTCAGTGACAGAAGGCAAAAAAGTAGCTACCTCTGGATAGAGGATATTGAATGGAAAGGGGCACAGGGTTGCCTTCTGAGGGCTGAGAATATTCTTTATCTTAATCTGAGTGGTGGTTACATGGGTGTACACATAGGTAAAGTCTCTTGAGCTAAATACAGTTAAGATTTCTGCACTTTGTAATATGTATATTCTATCTCAGTAAAAATGATAGGCAAAACAAAAAGATTACTAAAAGGAAGCCTTTGTAGCAATTTTTATTTATTTATTTTTATTTATTTATTTTTCTAGCAATTTTTAAGCCCTTATAAAAGTTTCAGAGACTGGCATTAATGGCTGTTATCAAATGTGCATCTTGGACCGGGTGTGATGGCTCACGCCTGTAATCCCAGCACTTTGGGAAGCCGAGGTGGGCAGATCATGAGGTCAAGGGTTTGAGACCAGCCTGGCCAACATGGCGAAACCCCATCTCTGCTAAGAATGCAAAAATTAGCCAGGCATGGTGGCACGTGCCTATAATCCCAGCTACCCAGGAAGCTGAGGCAGGATAATAGCCTGACCCCAGGAGGCGGAGGTTGCAGTGAGCCGAGATCATGCCACTACACTCCAGCCTGGGTGACAGAGCAAGACTCTGTCTTGGGGGAAAAAAAGAGCATCTGCTGCTTTAGAGAAAGGGGTGGCCTTATTTTATCATATGAGAAAAGCATTACTTGAACAAATTTACTCACAGAACTGCCCTCCTTTCTAACCTAAGTAAAATGTGTACTCAGACTTATCTAACTTAACATTGGCACAATCTGCCTCCAGTTAGGGGATACTGTGTCTTACTAGCTTTATTATCTTGACTTTGGACAACTTCCTAAGCCTTCACTTAGTCAATAGAATTTACTTTAGGCCTATTATGTTTCAGCCCCTGTTCGAGGCTCTGGGAATAGAGCAGTGAATAATACAGGGGAGAAAAAACTCATTATGGAGCTCACATTCCCACAGGGAGATAAACAGTGAGCAAACAGATAAGTACAATGTACAGTTCACTAAAATGCTGAGTGTCTTGGGGAAAACTAAAGCATACATAGGGGTAGAAAATCCTGGGCTAGGGCTAGAGTGGTGACTGTAATTTAAAATAGGGTAGTCAGGCCTTCCTGAGAAGATATTTGAGCAAAGACTTGAAGGTCATTTCTAAGGAAGGCGAGCCAAACTATTGAGACAGAAAAAAAAAAGAAAAATTACTGAACATTGCCATGTCCTCTGAAATCTGAAAGGTTCTGCATTGTATAATACACACTCTTGGGGAAGAAAAACAAAACCAGTTATGTATTTCTAAGAAGGCGGGGCCAAGGGAGCTATAGAGCTCTTTGGAAATTGAACTGACAAACAATAATTCAGCACCTGGTCGGTACCTGGTGAACAAACTAGACGGTCTTTGCCCTAATGGAATTTACAGTGTAGTGTTGTGTTTCATAACCTTTTAATTATCATCCCACTAAGGAGCCCTTTTAGAAATTTTATTCCAGAGCTCTCCCTCATCATCATAAAATTTTATTATCACAAATGTACTAGATATCTCTTTGTGTACTATGGCTCTTTGGAGAGCTGCAACCCATTATAATATCTAAAATTTTTGCATCCTCCGAGAACCAGTTTTCATTGTTTTTGGGGCACTGTCACCCCCATTGAGAATACATGGTCTTTGAGATGGGGAGATTGTTTTAGATTATCTGAGTGGACCTACTTCAATACCTTGAATCATTAAAAGTAGAGAAACTTTCCTGACAGTAGTCAGAGATGTGGTGGTCAAAGAAGAATCAGAGAGGCCTGATGTTGTTGAGTTTGAAGGCATAGGAAAGAGCCTTGAGCCAAGGAGTGCAGGCAGTTTCTAGAAGTTAGAAAGAACAAGAAAACAGATTCTCCCCTAAGCCTCCCGAAAGGAACACAGCCTTGCTAACGCCTTAATTTTAGCACAGTGAGACCCATGTCCCACTTCTGACTTCTAGAACTATAATTAATTTATGGTGTTTGGCTGAAAGAGAGAATGAATTATGATATAGAAGAAAGACCAATATCAAATAATCATACTACAAAGAATAATTAAAAATCACCATAAACAAAAAAATAGAGGTTCTGTGAAAGCACAGGATATCTTAACTGAGGTTCTAGAATAGCCGCCTGTGAAATATTCATATCGGGGCTAAGATTTAACTGGGAGAATAATGGGAGGTGGAGCATTCCTGAAGAAGAGTGACATCCACAAAAAATCTAAAGAAAGGAGGTTCGTGCTTTGTTAGTTGGATAAAGTGAAAGGTCATTGGGACTGGAGGATACTAGGTGAGAGGAAGAGGAGGTTGGAGAGTGGGCAGGGGCTCAGTCGCTCAAGGCCTGGCTGGTCATGGTATAAATTTTTGGTTTTATCTTACATGTAATGAGAATCAACTGCAGGGTCTTGAGCAAAGGGGCACATCTATTTTAAGGAAGCACTTTGAGGATAATGGGCTGGGGAAGCAAAGCAGAGAGCTTAGAGAGCAGGTGATCTCACTGCGTCTGAGCAGAAAACTTTAAGAGGACTTTGCTGGGCATGTAAAACACATCTTCTACCTCCACCTAAGAACAATCATAAAACCTCCAAGCCAAAGGACTAATCTGACTTCTGAAACTGTATTTAGTTCCTCCAGAGCCCCTGAATGCTCCAACTGTGATTGACACTGGACATAACTTTGCTGTCATCAACATCAGCTCTGAGCCTTACTTTGGGGATGGACCAATCAGATCCAAGAAGCTTCTATACAAACCTGTTAATCACAATAAGGCTTGGCAACATATTCAAGGTAAGCTTTGGACAGGATAGATGCCAGCTGGGGATGTGGCACCAGCAGAATAATTTTTGTCCAAATCTAGCAATTCCCTTCTTCCTGCTTCCATCCTCTGTGCCAAGGTGGTGGCTGTTGTAGAGGATTCCATTTCAGAGTATTCAGGAGAGAGTGCAGGTATTGCTGCCGTATTGAATTGTTTATTCCTTTTCTTATTTCATGTCTTGCCCTGTCCTGCAGACTCAACACAGAGAGGTTTTTAAAGGATTTCAAACATGCAAAGTTTGGGCTGCGGCAAACTGGAATGGGCTGGGGGAAGGGCGAGTACAGGCAAAGAGAGCTACAGGCCCCTCCCCTAACTTCCTGAAAGAAAAGATAATTGAACAAAATGTGACGAAATGCCAAAAGTTCATGAAAACAGTTGAATTTATTTTGAAACACAAATTACAATTCTATTTGTTGCATGATAATGTAAAATCACAATTTTAAAAAGCAAAGACAGTATTATCAGTGACTATGCTGCTTCAGTTGGACCATCCGGTGAAAAGATCTGCCGCTCACCTGCTTGTAGGCAGCATGGACTCCTCCACCCATGCCTTTGTCCTACTATGCCTATGATTTCTTTACAAGGACCCTGTGTTCACTATATGGAGGTAAGAAAACTACCAAAAAGGAGAAGAGGAGGAGGATTTTGGGCCGAATAACAACACTAGCTGACTGGGGTAGACTGAATAAAATGGTATTATTACTGGGTCCTTTGTATACTATTGTAGATTCTATCAAAATTCAGAATTCCAGGGATGTGAGGCTGATTTGCTGAATTGCTGTTTACAACATCAACGGCTAGGTCTTTTATGGTGTCATATGGTGGTAATAATCCATCACCTTTTTCTACAAGTAGACATCCACAAAATGGTCTTCTAAGAACTGGTAAATACATCCATTTTTTTCTTATCAAGTAGGAATTTATCATATGGTAAGGCAGAAATTTATCTTTGCAATATCCATGGAGAAGCAGAGGCTGACTACAGCAAATAAGGAGAGAAGAGGCAGATACCATTTGTTTATGGGCACTATTTTCAAGGACTTCAGAGTGCTTCATTGTGATGGTATGACCATTACAAATCAGCTCTCTGGTCACTTTGAGCAAACCTCCTAAGCATCTTTTTCTCTTGATAGCTTGATTGCAATCAGTGTATATATTTGAAAACAGTAGCAATTAAATTATTTTATTCTAATTGAGTTTTCCCCCTAAATCTGGTATTCCATATAGTAGATTTGTGAGATTTTATTTTACAAATGAAAAGACAAAAGTACCAGGGCAGAAATGTGTAAGTGGCACAGAAATACATGCTTGAATGTGTACATTGTAACCTGCAAACATTTCAAAAGCCAAATTTTCCTCATATTAGGAAGGTTGAGGCCTTGAAGATGTAATTGCCTCTCTGTTTCACTAAGACATAGTTTTGAAAACCTAAAATCAGTTCACATCACAATAACAACAACCCCAGTTTAAGGAATGTAAGAGAATGCCAACTTAAGTTTCCTGGACTTTTTCTCTTCTCAGTGACAAATGATATTGTTACACTCAACTATTTGGAACCTCAAACAGAATACGAACTCTGTGTGCAACTGGCTCGTCGTGGAGAGGGCGGGGAAGGGCATCCTGGACCTGTGAGACGCTTCATAACAGCTTCTATCGGTCAGTGGAGGCCAACAGACATTTTTCATAAGCCGGGTGGGAGGGGGAGGAAGGGGAAAGAGGAAGGAAGATCAGGAAGGGTGGTGGTGGGTGAGTGGGTGGGTGGGGATGGAGGTGGCAGGAGTTTGCTTTTGAATGGGTGGGAAAGTGACAGGAAGGCTAGCAACTTCAAGCCAAACTGTTCCTTTATTTGGGTTGGACTCCTGGTCTGTCTCCCTGGGGGAGGGGGTCTGCAGCACTCTTTAGGGACAGAGAAGGAAGCAGTTGAGCCTTCAGGAAGGCAAAGCCATCCCCTAGGAGCTGGGATTTACACAGCAGCAACTGTGCTGAGTTTCAGCTCCTGTATTTTATCACTTGCTTCCTGTTTCCATCTTAGGGGCCCAGGCCAGGCTCTTGCCACAGACATTTCAGAAGTCCCAGTTTATTTATTTTCACAAATAATTTCTAATTTTTCAAGTAATTCATGTGCAGAGTTATGACATCAAATAGAATAAGAAGCTTTTATCTAAAGAACAGCATTCCCCTGCTCCATCCTTCACCTCCCAGTCTGGCTTCCTAGAGGTAGCCACTTCCATCACCTTAAGCTATTCATATCATATTTACCTCCCTTTTCTAAATCAATGCTTCTCAAACATAAGTGTCCATCACAATCACACAGAGAGCTTGTTAAAACATATTTCTGGGCTCCATCCCCAGAGTTTCTGTTTCAGTGGTTTTGAGGTGAGGATAAGGCCGGGTTCAATAATTTGCATTTCTAGTAGGTTTCCGAATGATGCTTGATGCTGCTGGTCCTGGATCCACATGTTCTGGATAATGTGTAAAATTATTTCTTGATTTATCAGTGGTGTTGCGTATTGATTGGCCTTCTATTGCCTTAATTAAGTGTGTGAATCTTCCTTGATGCTAACCGGACCTCTGGCCTTCTGCTACCCAGGTACCCTCCATTGAAATGCTGAAGTGATCTTTTGTAAGGTTCCATTCTTGGCTCTTTGCATTGTTCACTGTGTATAACCATTCTGTTACTATCTCTTGGTCAGTGCTTTATACCCTCAAGTTCATATATATTTAATTCGTATCACCTAGGAAGGTAAGAATTGTCATCTTCTCTATTTTATAGATTGCAAAGTAGAGGCTCAGAGTACTTAATAACAGTAAGATGCATCACTATACTAAATCTTCAGGTTTCATATCTTTGTCTTTTAGAAACAGGATCTTGCTCTGTCACTCAGGCAGGAGTGCAGTGGTTTGATCATAGCTCACTACATCCGCTATCTCCTGGGCTCAAGTCATCCTCCTGCCTCAGCCTCCTTTTAAAATTTTTTGTAGCTAGGGTCTTGCTCTGTTGCCAAGGCTGATCTTAAACTCCTGCCTCAAGCAGTCCCCTAGCCTCGGCCTCTCAGAGTGTTAGGATTACAGGGATGAGCCACCACTTCCAGTCCAGGCTTCATATCCTTTTGTTTCTCCAATTATTATTTCCACCTAGGATCACAACACCAGCTTATTATCCTAATTCACAAATTTGCCTATGTTTTACTCCATTTACTAAAGGTAGAAGGATATGTAATGATTCAGTGGACAAGCAAGGAAGAACATCCACTTTTCTTCTGCAGGGATTGCGTATCCTTACTGGAATCATCCTTTGTTCACTCCACCCGCCTAGTTTTCCTTTTACTGGCAGCATCCTTAAAGAGCTAAACCAGACTCAGAAGCTACTCTGAGGCTCACAGAAGCATTACACACAAGTAAGAAATGGCTTCTTGGGGACCCACCAGGTTGCGAATATGAAAAATAAATGCAGAAACTATATACAGAGGAAAAAGGGACCTCTACAGCCATGACCCAAGGGATCCCTGATATGTTATCATGCTGCTGCTAAAAGGCAAATATGGTAGTTAATTCTCTCTCAAGTCAGTGCTGGCGAGTCAAAAGGGGAAGGTCATAAACTGACTCAGATGGAAAGTATTTATGGAACAGAACATAAAACACTGCACAACCCCGCACTGTACTGTCTTCAGCCCTCAGAATAGGTTCCAGCCAGGATGTACTTAAAGGTCTCTCAGAATATTTCAAAGTAGTTCTCAGGGGCAGGCGGGAAGGGAATTCTTGAAGGTTCTTCTTTTCCCATCAGTTGAATTTTGCTGATGTTTGCTTTTCATTTCATCTGGCAATTGCACTGTTTATGTGTGCTGATTGAGGTGGTGAAGGCCAGGGAGTCCGGGAGGGGAGGGAAGAGAGCACTTGCCGAACACATGGCAGAAACGGGCAGACAGGGAGGGGTATGGGGCAATCATGCTCCCAAAGGGAAGGAAAAGGGGAAATAACTATTGAGTTACTCTTCTGTACCAGGCACAGGATTAGGAGGTGTACATGTATTCTCCAAAAGATCAACTCCCCATTCTGCTTTGCCATTGCAAACCTGCCTAAACCACTCTGGGTGGCTGTTTTGGAGGTTAAACTTCAGAGGTTAACAAGAGGAGTTGACATCACCTCTCTCCATTTGCAAAGGTTACAGAGAAAGGGCCATCAGGCCTTTTGCATAATGCCAAGCAAATATATGCCTGGCTGCTGGTTCTTACTAGTCTGAGGGTAGTCAGAAGCATGCTGATGGGACTTAACTCCCAGTAGATGGAAATAGACCCTTCCTCTTACTTCAAACCAAGAGTAAGAGCAGTGTTTCTCAACCTTTAAGAAAATGTATTGATAAGGGTGACTGTGTCCCTTCTGAGTATGTATGAATTAGAGGGTGCGTATCCTACATTTTGGAAGGACTTTATATCTGGAATTTAAAAATCAATTTACTATTTCACTGAAAACACAGTATTTCTTCCTTGGTCCAGTGACATAAGACACCTTGAAAGAAGGAAAGGAGGGAGGAAACCAATGTTAATAGAGCCCCCGACCCCCTCCAAGTGTTTTCACATCCATCGTCTCTCTAATTACTCCTGAGTCTGCAAGGTGGATATTTTAATTTCATTTTACAGGCGAACTTGGAGAGATTATGAATTTGCCCAAGGTTGCAAAACTAAAGTGGCATGTTCCTGTCTCTTGGATTTTAAAATCCATATTGTTTCTATTTAGTGAATGTCTTGGTGGCGCAGGCTCCTGTGGGTGGCCAGGCATCGTGCCGTCATAGCAAATACCTTGATGTGATCAGAGCAGGAGTAGGCCCGGTTCTGCCACCACAGCGGTATGACTTCTGAAATTCTTGCTAAGGGGAAGGAACCCCCAAGTTGCTTTACAATGTATTGCTCAAAATGGTAACAGAAATAGTAAATACTCACCCGTAATCCCATAACCTTGGCAAATCTACTGTTTTGATTATTAGTTTCCTTCCTATCCTTCACCATTGTAGACAAAACTTTTACCAAGTTACAGCCAAAGCTTCCATATTTTAAATCTTTTTATTAAGCTTTCATGCTTGTCCTAATTACCTGTTTTTCCACTGGATGGCTGTATCATAATTTATGATAGCAGTTTCCTATTTTGAGTGTTTAGGTTTCTTCCAGTTATTTTCTATTATAAATAATGTAATGAATCATTTTGGTAGGAAAAAACGAGTATCCTATGGCTGCTTGCTTGTGTTTCTTTGATAGCTTATGAATTTGTATATTATTCTAGAGCCAGAGTTAGTCTTCAAAGGTACCATTTAGCGCTGTCATTGCCTCTGCTCTTTTATGAGTCTGTCCTTGCATTGCTATAAAGAAATTCCTGAGACTGGGTAATTGAGAAGAAAAGAGGTTTGGCTTTTTACCAGCCCAAACAGTAAACACAGTAACCATTGGCTCATGGTTCTGCAGGCTTCATAGGAAACATTGGCTTTTGGGGAGAGCTGAGGGAGCTTTTACTCATGGCAGAAGGCAAAGTGGGAGCAGGCACTTCGCATGGTGAAAGCGGAGCAAAAGAGTGAGGGGGCGGTGCTGTACACTTTAAAATGAACGGATTTTGTGAAAACTCACTCAGTAATGGAAGGACAGCACCAAGGGGGATGGTGCTAAACCATTCATGGGAAGTCACCCCCATCATCCAGTCACCTCCCACCAGGCCCCACGTCCAACATTGGGGATTACATTTCAATATGACATTTGGGCGGGGACACTCATCCAAACTATATCAGTTGTATATAAAAATAATGATTTTTCTGGATTCTGCTAGGACTCCCTCCTCCAAGAGGTCTAAATCTCCTGCCTAAAAGTCAGACCACTCTAAATTTGACCTGGCAACCAATATTTCCAAGCTCGGAAGATGACTTTTATGTTGAAGTGGAGAGGAGGTCTGTGCATATAAAAAGTGATCAGCAGAATATTAAAGTTCCAGGCAACCTGACTTCGGTGCTGCTTAACAACTTACATCCCAGGGAGCAGTACGTCGTGCGAGCTAGAGTCAACACCAAAGCCCAGGGGGAATGGAGTGAAGGTCTCACTGCTTGGACCCTTAGTGACAGTAAGTAACTCATTCTGCTCCAATCTCCTCTGAGCAATATGGGGCTACCACCATTCGAATTTGGTAACATCACTTCAAGACTATTTGAAATTATGAAAGAAAGGTAGTTGTGACAGAAGGCTAATTAGTGCCCTCCACCTGATCATTTTAATAACTTTCAATATATAAGAAAGCCCCATATATTTGGATTTGCAATAATTCAGGCAGGGCTGTGCTAAAAATTTACCCTCCCTTGGTGTGCAGTTATTTAGCAAATTAATAACAAGAATAAGGTTTTCTAGGGCTTGTTGAACTATTTATGGGGCAGTTTTTAAGGATTATCATATATAGCTACATGTACACAGATGACAATGAAGTCCAGATGGGTCTTTCCTAATCTTAAAAACCAAGTAACTATGCTTGAAAGCCCTTGAAAACAGGTAATACACACACACACACACACACACACACACACACACACACACATATATATGTATATATATACATATATATACATATGTATGTATATATATACATATATATATGTATGTATATATACACATACATATATATATGTATATATATATATTGCTCTTTAGGTTCTGGGGTACATGTGCAGAACATGCAGAACTGTTGCCTAGGTACACACATGGCAATGTGGTTTGCTGCCTCCATCCCCCCCATCACCTACATCTGGCATTTTTCCCCATGTTATCCCTACCCAACCTCCCCACCCCCCGCTGCCCCTCCCCTATTCCCCCACAACAGACCCCAGTGTGTGATGCTCCCCTCCCTGTGTCCATGTGTTCTCATTGTTCAACACCCGCCTATGAATGAGAACATGCAATATTTGATTTTCTGTTCTTGTGTCAGTTTGCTGAGAATGATGGTTTCCAGATTCATCCATGTCACTACAAAGGACATGAACCCATCATTTTTTATGGCTGCACAGTGTTCCATGGCGTAAATGTGCCACATTTTCCCTGCCCAGTCTATCATCGATGGGCATTTAGGTTGGCTCCAGATCTTTGCTATTGTAAACAGTGCCGCTATGAACATGTGTGTGCATGTGTCTTTATAACAGAATGATTTATAATCCTTTGGGTATATATCCAGTAATGGGATTGCTGGGTCAAATGGAATTTCTATTTCTAGGTCCTTGAGGAAGCGCCACACTGTCTTCCAATTTTGTGAAACTTTCAAGGTGCAGAATAATGCTAAGAGTAACATAACATTCACATTCCTACCATCCAGAATTAGCAACTGTTGACATTTTGTCACATTTGCTCTCAGCATTTGTTGTTGACTTACAGGGGTAATAACCCACTACAGATACGTCAGTATCTCCCTTTGACTGTTATCCTTATTCCATTTCTATTCCCCTCTCCCAAGAGACAACCAAAATTATGAGTTTAAGTATATTTCCATTTAATGTTGTATAATTTTTTTTGAGACAACATCTCACTCTGTTGCCCAGGCTGGTCAGCAGTGGTGCCGTCATAGCTTACTGCAGCCTTGGCTTCCTGGGCCCAAGCCGTCCTCCCACCTCAGCCTCCTGAGTAGCTGGGACCATAGGCACACACCGCAACACCTGATTAATTTTTTTTAAAATTTTCGTAGAGATGGGATCTCCCTATGTTGCCTAGGCTGGTCTGGGACTCCTGGGCTCAAGCAGTCCTCCCACTTTTGCCTCCCAAAGTGCTGAAATTGTAGGCCTAAGCCACTGTGTCCAGCCCAATATTCCATAATTTTAATATATCTAAAAGTATACATATGCATACATATCATGCATCTTTTTTGAATGAACATTATGATTTTTATCTATCCATATTATTTAGCTTTGATGCATGCCATTTTAACTTCCGTATAATATTCTATCTTATGAATGCATCTTGTCATTCATTCCCTTCCTTTTAGATGGAGATGTAGGTTTTTTCATTTTTTACTATCATGAATAAAATGCAATGCCTATTATTAATGCATGTCTCCATGTGCATAGACAGGTGTGAGAGTTTTTCCTGGGAACATGTCCAGTGGTGGAACTCATGGGCTGTTTCCCTCTAAAGTGGTTAGTCGGTGTATACTATGTTCAGGAGTATATGACAGTGCCATTTTCCTTATACCCTTCTCTGTACCTGTATCCTTCCCCTATATCACTCCATAGTATCACACCTTGTTATTTTTGCATATCTCAAAGGCAAAAAATGGTACCTCATTGTTGATTTCAATTTTGATGTCCTTAATAACTAGCAAAGGTAAGCATCTTTTTATGTTAATTGTTCATCTGGATGTCCTCTTTTTTGATACACTGATTGATATCCTTTGCTCATTTAGAATAGGATGTGTTTCTTACTGATTTGTAAAAATTATTTGTATGATCTAAATACTAATTGCAAAATATATTCTCCTTATCCCTTTATTGTAACCTTGTTTGTGGTGGTTTTTAACCCACAGATACTTTACATTTTGATGCAATTGGACCTATTAGTATTTGCCCGTATGATTTTTACTTTTTGCATTTTGGAATTATTCCCTATCCCAAGGTCAAAAACATATTCTCTGTGTTTTTCCTACTAGTTGTAGTGTTGTTTTGTGTATTTAGGTTTTTAAGATACAGGAATGTTATTTGGGGGTACAGTGTATTTTAATATTTTTATTTTAATGTTATTTATTCAGATGTGGCAAGTCAGTGTTCCCAATGCCACATATTGAATAGTCCCCATGGTGAGTCGTGATGCTTTCTGTATCATATGCCAGGTTCTTGTATTCACTTTGCATCTATTTCTGGATGTTCTGTTCTTTTGCATTTATCTGTTTGTTCCTGTACCATTTCCAGCATATTTAAATTAATTATAGACTCATGAAATGTCTTGATTACTCTGGGGTGAATCACCATTTCCTATTTCAAAATTATCTTAGGTGCTCACTATTCTATGTAAGTTTCATCCTTATTAGAGTGATTACTCTCAAAATCACACTATCAGTATCATATTTTAGGATTAAACAAAAACCAGTTAATAGTCACTGGGAGTTGACTTGCCTTGGATGATGGTATGAAATTTGATGGAGGGTCAATATCGGTGGTCGTAGTAGGGATGTAAGAATGGCAGGGTAGGAGGTGATCCCTATAGGGTCAGGAAATCAGGGGAAGGAGGATGTGAATGAGAACATTTCAATTTTACCTGAAAACATTTGTTAATATTCTGTGTTGTCATTGGCTGATCATGCATGTTCAGAAGTAAAATTAATACTTCCAGTTATAAAATTTGTGTTGGTTCCCAGCCTAGCAATTCCATCTGGTCCAAGGGTAAAAAGTGGAGTGAATTAGATTTGGCATATCACCCCAATCATAGTAAAAATAATATATGTGTGTTAGGTTTTCTTGTTGAAAAACATTTACCTGGGGAGTGTGTGACCCTTACAATGATTCTCTGAGGAAGGTAGAGTAAGAATGACCATCAAATTTATCAGATGAGGAACCTGATGCACAGAGGAGGTAGGTGACTTGCCCAGAGTTATGCAGCTAGTACGGCATGGGGATTAGGATTCCAACCCTCATTTTGTTCTATTTTTTCCCCCAGCCATGCTACAAATGTCTTCCACTTGTCTCTTTGGATGAGCAACCCACTGCTTCAAAGCAACTATGGCTCTAGATGTTCTTTAGTAGTGATAGCCCATTTCTAAATTGTTTAAGGTCTGATTAGTGTTTCCTAAAGAATTTTAGAATCTATTTTAGAGTCACCTGGGGAACCCGCTAAAATGTAGATTGCTGGGTCCAGACCCACTGAATTTATGTGAAAGGTTTATTGGGCCATCCCAAAGAGTGGCTCCTTTCAGGCATAAAATGGATAAATTGGTAGATGCAAATTTATGATTTTTAGTTGGCACCAACATTATATTCATTATTTTTCTAACAAGTATCTAAAAGACACTGCTGCTTTTTGTGACAGGCTTAGAAGATCTCTGGTTTATGAAGTTGAATTTTTTTGAGCCACAACTATTAAATATGTGATCATAGTAATCTGAAAATGTTAGTATTTCTATTATCCCTTTAATCTCCTGTGGGAAGAAAGGCTACTGTATATTTTTATAAAAATATACAAAAATTTGGTACTGGATGTAAAGAAAGACATAATGTTCATTAATTGTGATTTTTGGATACTGTACCACCTGGTAGACATAGAACATAACAATCAGATTTGGAAGTTTCAAAATCCAATACCGAATTCCCATAAATTGCCATAGTCCCCTAAAGGGTAACACGGGGGAGTCAACATAATGAAAAGAAAAAAATTGTATTTTTTTTAAAGGCAAAAACACGTAATTTTATTTTTGTTTAATCTTAATCTTGCCAACTTCTTCCCCTGAACAATATTTGTCTTATTTTGATACCCACCTACACTTATGTTAGAAACGTACTGCAAACTATTTAGTGATTCCACTTTGAATTTATAGTTGTATAGTTAAGATGTTTTGAATATATGCCTATCCATATGCCAGATATAAATTTCAGAAACTCTTAATGTCTCTTCTTTCACAGAAATTCTACCTCTGTCCTGATGTAATTAGGTTGATTAAGAAAATTAAATGCTATGGGCCAGAAAACTAACTTCCACAAATGCAACAAAAGGAAAAGTTTTTCCAAGTACCTCTATGCAATGGGAAATCGTTCTTTCAAGTACCAAGTCAATTTCTTCAACTGTACAATGTATTCTGACTTGATGGTTTTCAAATATAATATAGTAACAACAAAATGTAACAAAATTAAGACTATAAGAAAACAGAGTAAATGGTATAATTCAAATAATGACAAACAAAATGGCATTATGGATTTTATAATCAATATATAACTATATATTTAAATTTTACTTTACATCCATAAGATCACAGTTAAGGAGGTTAACCATAATTTCAAATTTTATTAGCAGCCATTTATGTTGTTTTATCACATTTGAAAATATCACTCTTATTTTTTACTTCAAACAGTGATCTATAAATTTGTTTAGACCATAATAATTAAGGACCTTTTCTTTTCTTCTTCAGGATAATTTTAAAAATTGAATATTATATTGAACCTACTACTAAAGAAACTTTACTTTTTGAGTATGGCCTCTACATTGAAGATCTTTAGGAATTTTTCTGATTCTCACATCTTCCCATGACCTCTCTGTTCATAGAAATATCATCTTTGAAATAATTTGTGTGACTACTTTACAAATCAAAAATGGATTCACATGACCAAATTATCATAATCACTAATTTTAACAGTTTCCTAGATATTTTTATTTCAGTTTCTTGATTATGTCAATAATATGAACACGCTGTTAATAGAACAGAATATTTCATTACATCGGTTTCCCATCAACCCACCAAAATCACTTAATAATTATATTGGCCATTTCCACTGATTGGCAGGAGGCTCTTTCACTAATGGCTCCCATGTTTTCCACTGCACCATTTTTCTTGCTAGTCTTAGTTCATGTTCAGCCTGAAGAATCACCTCTTTTAATTGACCACCTTGAAGTTGGTCTTCTAATTTTTGAACATCTAATTCCACTTTAACACATTTATAATCTGTTCTGTATATTTTCTATATGCTGCATTTTTAGGGATATCCTCAAGAACATCGAGAATCTTTGTGTACAATATTCTTAGCCTCTTGTGTGGAGTATTGCACACAGCCAATCCCACAAGGCCAGTGGTCTTCTTCAGCACACCTGCCATGACGTGCCGATGAATTGATGACCAAGAAAAAAATTTTAAATAGAAAGGATGTACCTTGAGATACTTCTCAAAGGTTCTAATTTGCTTATAAGCAATAACTTTCATGTGGGAAAACAACGGCGTATGGAATGAAACAGCCTACGTCTACTATTCTTCTAAACAAAACTCTTAAATTTTTGAAGTCTCAGTTTTCTCATCTCTAAAATGTGGAGCATAAGAATCTCAGCACTGTGTGGTTTTACAAGTCAAGAGAGTGTCTGCAGGTGGAAGCACATTGTAAATAGCCGCATAATGCAAGGTACAGAGAATATTAAGAACAAGAGCTCGAATTCATTCTTTTTTTTTTTTTTTTTTTTTTTTGAGATGGAGTCTCTCTGTTGCCAGGCTGCAGTGCAGTGGTACGATCTCAGCTCACTGCAACTTCTGACTTCCTGGTTTAAGTGATTCTCCTGCCTCAGCCTCCCGGGTAGCTGGGATTACAGGCATGTGCCACTACGCCCTGCTAATTTTTGTATTTTTAGTAGAGACGGGGTTTCATGTTGGCCAAGATGGTCTCTGTCTCCTGACCTCGTGATCTGCTCGCCTTGGCCTCTCAGAGTACTGGGATTATAGGCGTGAGGCACCGTGCCCAGCTGAATTCATTCTTTTCCTGGGTTAAATAGGCTTAGGCTTTATCAAGTTGTGAACTTCCCTTCTAGCCTGTGCCCTTTCAAGTTTGAGTGAGAATGTAGTGATGATGAGGTGCCTGTCATCTTCATACGTGGAAAATCTCAAGGCATCTCTTTCTCATCCTGCCTATGACCCTGAATGGAATGTGACCCCACTTTTCCCTAAATCCCTATAATACTTTGTCTACTGAAAGTTATTAGCACATTTTCTCATGTATACACTAACCTGCTTGCTGCTCCATAAATTTAGGGCAAGGACAGACCACATGATGCTAAGACTATGGACTACAGAACCAGACTGCCAGGAGTTGAACCTTGTTTCTTCTACTTAACAGTAGTTTGAATCTTGTTTCTTCTACTTAACAGCAGTGTGACTCTTAACTACTGTTAAGTAGTGTGGCCATGGCTAAGTCACTTAACATCTCCAGACCTCAGCACTTACAGCAAGATTGTTATGAAGAAGAAATGAATATATACAAGAGCCTAGATCAATGCCTCCCATATTGTAAGCACTATATAAATGCTAGCCCTCATAAGCTTTCCATTCTTCCCAGCATTAAGATTAGTAAATACAGGTTTGTGGAACGACAGAATTTTTCAGGCCTTCATTTAGTGTCAAGATGACGGTAGATGATATGAGTGTTGCCATTTCCTTGTGCCACTCTTTCAAGTCTTCATGGAGTCCAGTAGCCACTACCAGTTGATTGGGATACCATCTGAGAAAACATCTGTTTGCCTTTCATGTTGTATGAGCTGACATGAACCCTATCTCAAAAGCATAATGATCTAAGACATGGTAGTGTATCTTCAGTGAATCTTTTTCTTTTTAATTTCTAGTTCTTCCTCCTCAACCAGAAAAAATCAAGATTTCCAACATCACACACTCCTCTGCTGTGATTTCTTGGACAATATTGGATGGCTATTCTATTTCTTCCATTACTATCCGTTACAAGGTTCAGGGCAAGAACGAAGACCAGCACATTGATGTGAAGATAAAGAATGCCACCATCACTCAGTATCAGCTCAAGGGCCTAGAGCCTGAAACAGCTTACCATGTGGACGTTTTTGCAGAGAACAACATTGGGTCAAGCAAACCAGCCTTTTCTCATGAACTGGTGACCCTCCCAGAATCTCCAGGTTGGTTGAATGGACAGGTATTTACATAGGATTACCGTGCAGCCCTGTAGGCAGCTGGCTTATCAGGACAGGCCTGTGAAATGAAAACCTATGAAAGGTCGGTGGTTGAATGGACAGATATTTATTTACAGAGAGGTCCTTAATATCAAATGCCTCCAAGAAGGACTGCTGTTGGTCCATTTTCTATTATTAAATAGATCAGTCTATCAGCATACCCCATCCAGCAATCTAAGAAGAAAACTCTGAGGAATATGAACTTTAATTCCGAGGAGAAAGAAGAATGTGGGAGCTGCTTATAGAAGGCAGGCTGAGCAAGAGCTCCAGGGGAAGGCTCCAGAGACCATGCTCCATTCTTCCTCAGACACTCCTCTTTTAGCTGGATGGCACTGTGCAATTCTGAGTTTTCTTCTACTTTATCGATGTAGGTTATTAGGTCTCCATGTCCACCACTAACCCCAACCCCAGAAATAGTTTACGCTTTGAGTTAGAGATCCTCTCAGAATGCCATACTGTGCCCAGCGTTTGTGACTGATAAAATTTGTTGAGTGTAATTAAGTGAACAAAGGCCCCATGTGGGTGGAGATGCAGCAGGAGGATTGACTTCGAGTCTGTGCAGAGGCGCCTCCCAGATCTCTGTGTTGTGTACAATGTGTGCTAGAGAATGTGGATGGAGGCATGTTAGAGGGAAGTTTTGAAAATTTATGATTTGGATTATAGTCTATATTTACAGAAAATGCTATAACTAAATCTAAAAACTTCTTGGTTCTGTTGGAGGATTACTTAGACCTTAAGAAACAAAATCAAACAAGTTGCGTTAGCAGTGCCGATTATTTGAAACATTTTTGAAATGTTCAAGAAATGAAGAGTCTGCTCAATAGAGAAAATCATGGTTTTCAGGTCACACTCTTAGTGAATGCTCCAATTTTGTGATTACTTGTGTTTTGGTAAAATGTAACTTCCTAAATTTAAGCTATACATAAAAAATTTAAAACAAGACAAAACCAAAAATTCTCATCATTCTAGACATCTCTGTATATGTACATATATAGAGATAGAAGGAAAGATAAATGAGAAGGGAGGAATACTTTTAAGAAGATGGGATCATGTGCTGTGTGCTAATACTAATACACATATATTGAGTTTAATTTTATTTGAATTTAAATAAGGGAAAGAAGTAGAGTGATTATACCACAGTCTTTATAATTTATTTTGACCTAAGCCCTAAATTTAGTGTTTTTGCCTCTGTCTTTTCCTGTCTTCCTCCTTCCCTTCCTCCCTCTTTTTTCCTGTTGGTATCCTTAGGCTTTCTTCATGAACTCTTTAAAATGAGAAAAACAAAACAAAACATCTGACAGAATCTAAGCTCTTGGCATAATCGAACTTTAAAACATTTCTAGGTGGGGAAATTGAGGTTTAGGGAGGTTTAGTCATTCTCCCTTTTATTCAGTATTGTTCATCTGCTTGGGATCCTACTTGGAAATAAAAGTTGAGCAAATGATAACTGATGATTAGCACATTGCCAATTGTAACAGCACTTTCGCACGTGCTTTTTTTTTTTAAAAAAGATCTTGTAACAATCTTGTGAGTCAGATTCATCTCCACTGAGTTTTAGAATATAAATGAGTAGCCTCAGGTCATGGAGTGATTAGGTGGCGGGGTTAGGGCTGCCGTTCAGTTCCTGTTACACTGTGTCTTCTCCCAAAGATGGTGATGGTGTGTTTCTCTATGTAAACTAACCTACCTGCTTCACCTCTGTCTTTCTGCACAGCACCAGCGGACCTCAGCGGGGGGAAGATGCTGCTTATCGCCATCCTTGGCTCTGCAGGAATGACCTGCCTGACTGTGCTGTTGGTCTTTCTGATCATGTTACAATTGAAGAGGGCAAATGTCCAAAGGAGAATGGCCCAAGCCTTCCAAAACGTGGTAGTGTCGCATCTTCCTACTAGCTAGCTAATAAGGGCAAGTCCAAGTACAGGCAGAACCTTCACTTTAAAGATATGGACCAGGAAATTTACTTGTAAAGCAAATGTTTCACTTAGGCAAGTCTCATCTTCTCTTTGGCTTCCATTACAAAATTGAAGATAAAAAGTATGACTGTATAATTTCTTATCCATACCAGAAGAATTTTAAGAGTGAAAAGGGTGCTCTTAGTAAATTTTGCAGGAAACCAGGTATGCCCCTGCCTGCTAAATGAGATGTATGGTCATCCTAATAATAAGTCCCCAGAGAGGATACCTTGCAGTAGAATGAATTGAACATTTTTGGTAAGGAATGACATGAGGGTAACCAGACCTCAATGAGATAAGTAATCATTTATTATATTAGACAGGTTTTCCCCCCATTTGCCTATTGCTGGCTCCCATTTCTTTCTAATAACTCCCTCAATCTTATCACCTCTCAAATGTGTAAGAATTGTATATACGTGTGTGTGTCTCCCATTCCTGTGTACCCTCAGTCTGATGTCAGGGTTCCTGGCACTTGGTGCTGCCTCATTTTTTTTCGTCTAGGAATTCTAACCAGTAGCAAAGGCCTATAAAATCACACTTCACCAAGAGGCATCTTATTTGATTTCTTTCGGTATACTAAAGCCTGAAAATTTATCTAGTTTGTGGGTTCAGACCCTGTAAAATTAATTTGAAGCAGACTATATCAATTCTGTATATAATGCATTGAGTGCAATGATTCATGTGAGGCGTACCCTACGTGCATGAATCTCCAAGATTCCCTTCCATGGAGGACGAGAGGAACTTCACCATCTGACTCCATGCCAGAGCTGGCTCGACTCAGGCTGTCACTGGAGAGGGGGGGCCAGCAAGGGGGTTGGGAGTGCTAGAGCCTGTCAAAATGCCAGTGCTTTTTCAAGGTAGCACTAGCAGCTATTTGAAGTCAGGAGAAAGATATTGTGTTGGGTTCGGCTCTAAGCTTCAGTGATCCCATGGCCAGAGTGGACTTACAGATTCTAAGCCTGAGGACAAGAAAAAGGGAAAGAGTGTGCACTAAAAATAGACTAGGATCAAGATAATGTTAAGAAAGCTTTCACTGAGGCACATCCTGTGGCAGCCCCATATGGGATCTCCAAGCCAGTTTCCAAACCAGAGCTGAACACTTGTTCGTTTCACAGCCCTGTGGGGAACTCACATACAACTAACACAAGGATGGCAAACACATGGCCTATGTACTGTTACTCTGTCTTCCCTCACCCTTTACAGACATTGCTAATCAACAAGCCTTTCCAGGGAGGCCCGGAATGGTGCCTATGCAGCGCTGTAGGCAGCTGGTTCATCAGGACAGGCCTGTGAGATGAAAACCTATGTCCCTTTCCAGCCTAGAATTAAATACACTATTTCTTTGTTCGTCTGAAGTGGATACCAACCAGAAGACTTTGTGCCCCTTTGAATTTATGAAAAATCCTGACATAAAATGATTAACATTTTAAACATTTAATGATTAAAAACAATTATTTTGCCAGAGGGAAGAACCAGCTGTGCAGTTCAACTCAGGAACTCTGGCCCTAAACAGGAAGGTCAAAAGCAACCCAGATCCTAGAATTTATCCAGTGCTTGACTGGAATGACATCAAATTTCAAGATGTGATTGGAGAGGGCAATTTTGGCCAAGTTCTTAAGGCGCGGATCAAGAAGGATGGGTTACGGATGGATGCTGCCATCAAGAGAATGAAAGGTCAGTGGCTGACCAGTTAGAGTCAGCATTGCATGACGATGTGGAGAAAACTTGATTTCCTGCTGAGTTTTTCCTCTATGCTCTTAGATTCTTTAAACTAAACATTGGCATGGTATCAGATATAGCTGTTAGGTACATCTGAAGAGTATGCCTCCTTTGAGGTTGAGCCCATGATAGCCAGGATATAAATACAAAGGCAGGAGCCATTTAGATATCACTGTCTTGATTCATTGGGATGTGACACTGTAGATTCTTGGTCATATACGGAGAACTTTTGGGGAGCGTGATTGTTTCTCTTAATGTAGTGCTTCTCAAAATTGAGTGTGCATCAAAATCACCTGGAAGGCTTGTTTACAAACAGACTGTTGGGTCCTACCCCACAATTTCCGACTTAGTCTGAAAAGGGCCAGAGAATCTGCGTTTCTCATTAGTTTTCCAGTGATGCTGAATTGTGGGTTTGGGGACCACATTTTGCAAACCACAGTCTACGTAGGTTAACTGTATGTAAATTCCTGGGGACACTGTTAGAAATGCATCCACTTCGGCTTCTTCCATTCCTGGTTTGACTATATCTGAATTTCTTGGGGAGCGTAAGAAAATCTGTGTTCTTAAACGGCTTTCTCAATGGTTCCTCTGAATACTCAAGTTTGCAGAGAAAACCACTGATTTAAGGTCATAAGAACTAAATCTTTTCCAGCTTTGTTCATCTCAAGACTGTTTGGTACCTACCCGTCTAATAATATTTGGTAATAAATATCTTCAGAGAAAGCAGAATGACTAGTTCACTGGCAAATTAGCTAGCTGTCTTCCCTTGTGTGTGAAAAAGCAGTTTGTGTAAGACTTGACTGTGAGGCTGCACTATTGCTTTTATAGAATACAGGATTGGCATGTGGTGCATTAAATTGCAGAATGTGATGAGCTAGCTATTATCGTGGTGCAGCTCTATCTTAAGAGCTTTCTAAGGATGCTGGCAGATTTTTCTTTTTCTGGACACAATATTGAGCCTGTGAATTAACTCTAAATCTTATTAAATCATCTCTGCTTTCTGCATTGTTAAGAGCAACAAAACAAAATATTATCTATGATTAGAAACAGCAATATATTTCTTTAAAAACAATATAAACTACTTGCAAAACAGCCAGAAATCCCTTTTCTGTTTTGCTACTTTAGTCACAGGGAGTCTTGGGGAGCAGTGAGGATAGTGAGAGGAGAGGGGTGTAGAATCTTAGGAAGGCAGTTTCTATTGGGATCTGATGTGAGCCTGATTTTCTGTCTTGTGCCCATGTGAAGAGGGAAAATAGTTAATAAGGCACCAGGGCAGAGAAATCCTGCAGGCGAAGCTCTGCATCCAAAGAAGGGCAGTTGCTGAAGTAGGCGGACAGCCTCCCTATAAAGAACTTCTTTAAAAAATGATTCCCAAGGTATTGACCCTCAGTAAGGCTTCTGAAGTATGAACAGAGCACCTGACTTATGGGTACCATTAGCCCCTCCTGAGACAATTGTCACAGTTTCTAAGCATGATCAGGCATGTCCATGGCATGAGCACCCCACTCCTACCCTTGCCACCCAGTGTTGTTTTTTAAAAAACAGTATAGCTCATTGTCCCCGACTCAAGACTGATGAGTTTATGTACCAACCAATAGCCTTCTCTTCAGCCTGGTCCCTGGTGATTTCTCCCTCTGGTCAGAGTGCTAGTGGAGAGACAAGGCAAAAGGAATAGAAGCAGATGCAACTCAGTTTCCTGATTCCCATGCAACTTCCATAAGACACCATTTGGATTTGATTTGTTTAGCTCAATTAACCAGATGGAGACTGGTTTGTAAAAAAATAAGTTATAATCAATGAATAAAGATGCATGCATTATTGGTGATGTTTCATGGACACTTTGGTTTATTCCTTAGTTGTCTCTGGATGGTAGATTTAGCTGGAAGAGCTAACGTCTAAAAGATGGTACAGCTCCACCTCTACCAAGTCATTTACCTGAGGATCTGGGAGCTTAAACAATAAAACTTAAGAGTACCGGATATCCTCCAGGGGTGGTTTTGCCTCTGGGGGCATTTGGCAATATCTGGGTACATTTTTGATTGCCTATTGGCATCTAGTGGGTAGAGGGCAAGATGGCTGCAAAACATCCTACCATGCACAGGACAGTCCCCCCTCAAAAAGAATGATCATCCCAGTATCCATAGTGCCAAGGCTGCCAAGAAACTCTACTAAATTTAGAGCAGTCTCTTTGGTTGTATACAGTTGATGGTGACTGAGGGTACCTGAAGGTTCTGGGGGGCAGGACGGGACCCCTGATTCTGAAAAGGTGTGACAAGGAGGAACCACAACTTTTGACTTTCTTCCCAGAATATGCCTCTAAAGATGATCACAGGGACTTTGCAGGAGAGCTGGAAGTCCTTTGTAAACTTGGACACCATCCAAACATCATCAATCTCTTAGGAGCATGTGAACATCGAGGTGAGATGCTCTTTTCCTGTCAGATTTTTTTTTTTTATAAAACAGATATATTTCATACTGATATAAGGAAAGATAATGATCTTAAGAATGTTGCTTATTTTTTAAAAGTTGCATATTCTATCTGAATGTCTTTCTAGTCCCAGTCCCATTTATAGATTGTGTTGTGGTTTGCCATCTTTTTGGAGGTAGGTGCTGAGGCTGGACTATTTAGTATCTGATGTGGTTCAGACATTACTGCCCAAAGGTATTCATGGCTCCTACCTGCCCCATCCTTGGTCATCTAGAGGTTTTCTCAACTACCACCACTACTAAAGTATAGTAGGGGAGCCCACACCATCAGTTTCTTCTTAATTGCCTATCTTTACATTTTTCCTGGAAACCCAAGGACGAGTATTCTGAATGTTAAAAGCCATGAATGCCAGCAATCTACTGAAATATGAAAACTGAGGATGCTTAGATTTTTAAAATAATTATAAAAAGCTCTCATGTGATAGTGCTTTGTTTTTATCTAGAGTGCTTTCATGTACAATTACCATGGAGCTTTACCTCTATCCTGTGCTGCACATGTCTTTAAAGTTAAATTTATGTTATTAATTCAAATGTTTATTGAGCATTTTCTATTGTAATATGTGTAATTAGTGGTGAGGGAATAGGTAACAACAAAAATCTTCTACGGGTTTACCTCTGCAAAGCTGCATGGCCTTGTAGTTCTGCATTTGTGCTTAAACTTCATTTCTCATGGAAAACTTTGCTCCCACAAAAAGCTCCATGCAGTAATTATTTTACAAACTTGACAGCCTCTTGTTGACTTTGCAGGACAAACACCAACAATAGAAGAGACTACTTCCCTTTCCTCAATTTATGAAACTAAAAATACTGGTGCTTCCAACAATATATCATTCTATGAACCAAAAAGCATGTAATTCTGAAAGCCAGATCATGTCCCTTAGGTTAAATAATGAAGTAATGACATTTATTTTTTGAGCTACTTCCTGAAAACAATAATCAGCATGGGACAGGAGTATAAATGAAAGTTAAACACACCCCCCCCCCCAACACACACCCTGCTGCCCTTGCTGATGGCACTCCCACAAACATGGTTAGTGTTCTGAAAACCTGCCTGACTTTCTGTTCAAACCCACAAATGACACCGTACAAAAGGGCAAAGATTCTCTGGATACCCCGGGAAAGTGGTGTTATGACAGGAAGCCAAGTGGCGGTGGTGGATAGACTAAACCAATTTTCTGGAAAAAGCCTAAAACCACAAAGACGACTCTGCTGGGGATTTAGTGTGTTGACCCCACTGCAGATCTGAGAGAATGCTGGCCGTAAGGGATCCAGGCACTTTGCACTAGGAGGAGATAAGAAGAGAAATGGCCAAGTGATCCAGTTGTAAGCTTCATCTTTTATTCCGAGGACAATAAAATGTTGAGGTTATGTTTACCTCATGTGGTTGCAGTTGGTCTTTTGGGAGATAATAAACTACAAATATTAATGCAGCTTGCTTAGTGGGGAAAAAAGGTAACAACAAAAATATATCCCTTAAAATTTTGCTCTGTTATCACATTAGCACAGTTAGTTGGCTCTTAAAATTTTAAGATAAATTATTTGTACATATTTATGAATATATGTTAAATAAATATTATTTATTAGTAAATTAAAAAATATGTTTTAAAATTATTTTAGAATAATGCAGTAAAGATGTGAGAAAGCACATTTATTCCATAATTTAGGTCTAACTTTCCTTACCGTGGAACTGGATACCATACCAGATTTCTTTTTTGCTAGAGTTTCGATTTCTTAGAATATATTTCAGGCTTTCTTTTTTCTTTCTTGTTTTGAGACAGAGCCCCACTCTGTTGCCCAGTCTGGAGTGCAGTGGCACAATCTGGGCTCACTGCAAACTCCCTTTCCCTAAGCTCAAGCAGTCCTCCCACTTCAGCCTCCTAAGTACTCCCAAGTAGCTGGGACTGCAGGGACGTACCACCATGCTTGGCTAATTTGTGTTTATTTTTATTTTATTTTTTTGTAAAGATTAGGTCTCACTATACTGCCCAGGCTGGTCTCAAACTCCTGGGCTCAAGCAATCCTTCTGCCTTGGCTTCCCAGAGTGCTGGGATTACAAGTGTGAGCCACTGTGCTGGGGCCTCAACTTCTAATTCATTCAACATTAAAAAAACATGATTTACCCCAAAAATTCTTCTCTAAAAAACAGTGAAATCACTTTACATTTTAATAGGTGTAAACGTCAATGTTTTTAGCAAAGCAAACTCCCTTTTAAAAAAAATTTTTGTGGCCAGGTGCAGTGGCTCACGCCTATAAGCCCAGCACCTTGGGAGGCAGAGGTGGGCGGATCACCTGAGGTCCAAAGTTTGAGACCAGCCTGGCCAACGTGGTGAAATCCCATCTCTACTAAAAATACAAAAATTAGCTGGGCGTGGTGGCAGGAGCCTGTAATCCCAACTACGTGGGAGGCTGAGGCAGGAGAATTGCTTGAACCCAGGAGGTGGAGGTTGCAGTGAGCCGAGATCGCACCATTGCATTCTTGGGTGACAAAAGCGAAACTCTGTCTCCAAAAAAAAACACAAAACTTTGTAAGGGAATAATTTATTTTTAAAAACTCCAAGAAGGCCAGGCGCGGTGGCTCACGCCTATAATCCCAGCACTTTGAGAGGCCGAGGCGGGTGGATCACGAGGTCAAGAGATCGAGATCATCCTGGTCAACATGGTGAAACCCCGTCTCTACTAAAAATACAAAAATTAGCTGGGCAT